GGGCTGGCTGGCATGTGGTGCTGGGGTATTGAACCGTGGTCCCTGTGCTTTGCTATGCTTGTTCTAAGTAGGTGCTTTAGACCACTGAGCCATCTCACCAGCCCTTCAATAGGATTTATAAACCTACATGTTTGGGTTTTTTTTTTTTTTTGAGACAGGGTCTCACACTGCACTTCTAGCTGACCTTGAACTCATTCTGTAGCCCAAGCTGGTGAACGTGTAAGGATCTTCCTGCTTCAGCCTCCCAAGTGCTGGGATTGTGGGCATGGACCACCACTTCTGGCTCCTTCAATTTTTAAGATGCTGGGGTTAAGAGGCATACACTATCATTCCTGGCTGTTAATACATTAGAGTTTAAATTTTCTTTGATATTGGTTGCCTGTGAAACTAATGATACATGTTTCTTAGTGTGGGATTAGTACATGGTCATTTGAACTTTAGGTAATGTACATGCTGAAATTTTTAGGAGAAAGTATTCTGGCAGGAAAAAAATAAGCTGGGTTGATGGGTGGTAGGATGGCTAAATATGTGATCAGTGCTGTTACAATATAGGTTAATTATCGAATCATGGTGTATTTTTTAAAAATTTTTTTAATTTTATTTATTTAATTGTGTGTGTGTGTGTGTGTGTGTGTGTGTCCAGCTCCGCCCACCAGGGGGCAGGGCTGGCTGGTATGTGGTGCTGGGGGATTGAACCGTGGTCCCTGTGCTTTGCTAAGCTTGTCCTAAGTAGGTGCTTTAGACCACTGAGCCATCTCACCAGCCCCAATCATGGTGTATATTTAAATGTATACTATAAAACATTTTGGATTTACTGTGTGCTTCAAAGTTTTCCTTTTTGGGGGTGGGTAGTTTTTTTTGCGAAGCTGGGGATTGAACTCAGGCCCTTGCGCTTGCCAGGGGACCACTTATTCTACTGAGCCATCTCCCCAACCCCAGGGTAGTTTTTAATGTAAAAATTTGTAATTTCTGGACTTTGGATATTGCATTTTTTTCTGGTATTTGTTAAATATTTTACTCTGTTTGCAGAAATTAATCTCAGAACTCCAAAAGCTATTTATGAATAAAAATGAAACCTACGTTTTAAAATTGTGGCCCTTGTTTGTCAGACTTCTTGGAAAGGTAAGTGCCATTATTTCACATTATTTGTAGGTTGGCAGGATGATAATAAAGGGTTTGAGTTATCCACAGTGGAATTTCAGCCAAGGTCCCGGGAGGTTACACTCCTTTTTTTACTTTATCTTTCAAGCTTTGAGCAAGTGTTCTCTTCATGGTCCATTTTACACTTCTTTGTGCCTTTTCTTCCTCTTTTTTGAGGGATGACTTTGAAATGGCTTCCCCTAACATCTAGTTAGTTTTTTCTAAGCACAGAATGGTATGGGCATGTTAAACAACCTTTGTTCTGGTATGTGTTACAGTGCTATTGCTTTTGAGTTCAATTGTAGGAAATCAACATTATTAAAGAAAGTGTGTTTAAGTGGAAAAACAAGGACTAGGCAGAGAGGGCAGTGGCATAAATGCCTGCTTGGCAAGTGCAAGGTCCTGAGTTCATTACCCAGTACCTGCGGGAAAAAAAGAAAAACATAAAAGGTTATGTAATGAATTGAGTAAAACTTTGATTTGCTAGCATATATTTGGATATCAAAATGAACTTTCTGGGCTGGAGAGATGGCTCAGTGGTCTAAAGCACCTACTTGAAACAAGCTTGGCAAAGCACAGGGACCGCGGTTCGATCCCCCAGCACCACTGCCAGGCAAGCACAAGGGCCTGAGTTCAATCCACAGTTCTGCAAAAAAAAAAAAAAAAAAAGGAAAATATGAAAGGTTACTTAAGGAAAATGGAGAATGTAAGTTGTCTTCTTGCCATAACATCTTCAAGAGCCAGACT